TTATTATTTTTTAGGTCTATTCAGCTGTTCAATAGAAGTATATTAGGCCCACTTTAGGGCAACTCATTCATCGCTGAGATTAACGACAGGAGATAAAATGCAAAGACATCTGCTGCTATCTTTTAGATAGACTATTGTTACTTTTTCATGCTCTTTGACAGGAACCATGACTGCTGTTGCACATTAACCCCTTGGGGTCAGTGATTCTGACACAGTGAGGAGGCAAAAGCTAGGCTCTGTTACACAGTCCTGTCAGTAAGATAACAGCTGACTGTTCCTCCGGTGATGGCAGTTCTCTCCAATCTGAACGCCATGATATTATACTGAGCAATTCTGCAGTGTCTGAAATTTGCTGTCTCTTACATTATACATAGTTCTCCACTACGATAGCTGTTGATAATAATGAACACTTTTGTATTATATACACACAGCTAACTGCCCCTTCCCACTTAATGTAAATGTTTATGATGCACTTTTTTGTTAGGCTATTAATGCTTAATTGTCAATGAAGAAAACTGAGAGGAAAATAGGAAAATTATTAGGAAACTTTGTGGAGATGTGCTAATGTGTCTAAATAGCTGAAAATCGGACATCAGATTTTTGTCAGTCCTATATTAGTTTTAAATAAAAATTAGCAGCTGATCATTCAGGGTTACCTGCGGAGAGGTATCTAAAGCTCATCAGCCGATCACTGAGAGAGCTGTCTTTGGTCCCTTTCTATCTTTCCTTTTTACAACACATTACTGAGAACCATCATCCAATCATATGGTTTTTCTTATTGCTATTATCCAGACGACACACACCTCATCTTTCATTTCATCCTAATGACACAACGTTAGCAGTTTCTCAATTTCTGCAATTTCTTTTCTTAATCCAGCTGGGATCGTCCACGATTACCCCATGTAAATCAGTAATGATCAGTTGTCCATCAAAGAGCATATTGCTGACATATTGCTGACAACCCTTTCCTCACAGATCATGCTGCAAAACTTTTAGTGCACTTTAGTGTAAATGAACTAAACGACAATCATTCATTCATTCATTTTGTTTTCGGCTTAGTCCCTTTATTAATCTGGGGTCGCCACAGTGGACTGAACCGCCAACTTATCCAGCATCTGTTTTATGCAGCGGATGCCCTTCCAGCTGCAACCCATCACTGGGAAACACCCATACACACTCATTCACCATGGACAAACCCACACCAAAACGGGGAGAACATGCAAACTCCACACAGAAACACCAATTGACCCAGCCGAGGCTCGAACCATCCACCTTCTTGCTGTGAGGCGACAGCACTACCTACGGGACCACTGCGTCGGCCTAAACTACAATTAATTGTACTAAAACATTTAACAGCTGTAGATAACATAAAAAAGCAAACCTAAATAAAAAAAGATTACTTTTGTTTTAATTTATGGTAAACATCAAATGTTTTTAGTATTTAACACAGCAAAGAATAGATGGAAAATGGGATTGGCACATTTATACAGCAGGTACACTAATTGGTTAATCTTAGGGGGAACAACCCTAACCTAAACATGCTAAAGTAACACTTTATTTTTATTTATTTATTTTTATTTATTTATTTATCTAATGTTTTTTAAACGTATGTCTTATAGCTTGCATCCTAAATGAAAGTGAAACTGCATGAGTAGATTAAGCAATCTTTACATAAATTGATCTTTGTTCCAGATTTTTCTTTTTCTTTCTTTTTTTTATTGTAGGGACTTTGATTTCTTGCCTGTGTGGAAACTTTTATGATGGAGATAAAGATGTTTGTCCTGTGCAGTTTTACTTTCACTGCCTCTCAATCAGCATCAGCTCCTGAGGTGATTCATCAGTAGATCATGTGCATGAATTTGAGCGCTTTGTCGTTTTGTTATTCATCCTGTAAAACTCCCATAGTTTCAACCCCTGGTTCTCGGATATTCAGCGACAGATGCAGGAGTGCATTTAAGCAATGCAGATGAACACCAGCATATTGCTCTGTTCTTAAACATGACACACTTTCAGTATTAATCCACACAGTGGCAAAAGCTAAACTTTTCTCAACTTTGACCACCGCATGTGTGTAGGAACAGCTGACGGTGGCCATAGCAATGACAAACGGCAGTGAAACACAAGCTCACAAACACATTTAAATCCGTAAACAAAGTAGCACAAGTTGTGTGCTCAACATGGCTTTAGACACAATATGAGAATATTAAGAGTGAACCTGATAGAGAACAAGAATTTACAAGTAACAAAACATCATTACAATACATCATTTGCAAGCTAGAGAAAACAAGGAGACAGACATTATAATCGCACTAATGTTACTTACACTGGTGAAATAGAGGAAGAAACTGATCCATGAACTGTGTACTAATAAAGTTCCTGTTAAGCTCTGTCAAAGTCCCACACATCAATAATCTGATCCTTTCTTTGACAAATGGCAGATAATTCCCCCATTGTAAGTGTGTAGATTACTGAAGCACTTGTCAGAAACATGACGGCTACAATGCTGAGGTATTTTTGCAACAATAAACCTCAACCACTGACTCTTCACAGCTTCATTTAGAGAAAATAACGCTAACTTTCCCTTACACTTCCAATAATATCCAGCTGAGCACAACGTCTTCATGACTTTATTCAACCGGGATCTGTTTGTCTTCCTCTTTTTCTTTGCAACTGTGTTTGTGGGCGGTCTGCAGGTTAAGCTTTTTCCGGGTTTGTGCGTGCAATAATTGGGCAGGGCTTAAGTTTTGTCTCGACGCCACGCCGAATCGGCTAAAGACTCGTTATTAAGACGATTCATTTGAAGCACTATGAGTCGACACTTTTATAGATGAATCAATAGTTTTAAACACTGTCCGTGTTCAGATTAAAGCCTGGATATTTCACTTCACTTAGAGCTGTGTTACACACTACATGGAAGGTCATTCTTAAAATTCCATAATAGGGGCTCTTTAAGGAAAGAGAAGCTACTCTCAGCATCAGCTAAGGTTTAATAACTTGATATCGAGTGAAACAATCATCCATGAAGTAATTCTCTACTGGATTTTAACTACACAGCTAGTAACTCCTGTAACTTCAAGTCAATCGCACTACTGTGAAATCAAATTGCCTACTTAAGGCTGATTTATACTTCTGCGTCAAGCGCACGCGTATGCTACGGCGCTGATGCATAGCCCTATGCCGTGGCCGTCGATGTCACTGACGGGCACCTCTCAAAAAATGTAAATACACGTCGCAACAACGCATAGCCCAAGCTCTGTTATTGGTCGGCTTGGTCTGGGCGGAACCGAGAGCCCCGCAAGCCCAATGGAACGATTGTTTACAAGTGTAGAGTCCCGCAAAAGAGCTCCTGATAGAAAGTTTTGTTTTGTGTTGTAGTGGCTATTTTCTCAAAGGAGGCTCTCTCAGTGGTCAAGAAACAAAGTCTTACCCGGGATGTCTTTTCAAAGTTTTATTCTTTATAAAGAAGATCACAATCATACAGCAACAACAGTTTCTGCAGAGTGAGATACTAAAGCAAAGTGTGTTCACCTTTTTATCTAGTTTGTACTGCTTACGAGGTCAACTCCCAATGAGCCTCATCCGCATTTACTCCAGGCGTCTTCTGCTGTTTGTGCAATATGCTCATAACAACCACACATCCTTCTTAAGCAACGATACCTTTTAATGATGTATAGACCATAAATCGCAGTGATGCGTACACAGAGAAAAGAAATGTGTTCACCCCCACATAGTCAGATAAGGGAAATTCTTAGGATAATTACAAAAGCACGCACCTAGAGAAATATAGTTATGTATAAAAATGTACACATAGGTTTTATGATGAACATATGGAGAACACAGATACACGCACATATAAAAATGAGTCTAAGACAAGTTTCTAATATATAAAGCTCATCTAAAAATGAATTTCCATTACAGTGTTTACCTCATAGTTAAAGTTGTTGCACGTCCACCAGTTCCTGCCTCAAAATGAGCGAGTTTGAGCCACTTGTACATCCCAGAAGCGTTCAGAAAGAACAAAACAGCAACGAAAAAACTCGACACCGAGACACATTAACACCTCACTGCCAACTAGCATTTCTGAAGTGTTAATGCAAACCAACAGAGACAGCACAGAAGTATATATGTACAGCTACGCAGGTTGCATCCGCCGTGGGTTATGCCGGTCACTTGACGCAGAAGTAAAAACCAGGCTTAAGGAAGCAACGCTGATTGACAATCAATTTCACAAGCTGTTGTGTAAATGGAACAGACACAGGTGGAAATTATAGGCAATTACCAAGACACCCCCAATAAAGGAGTGGTTCTGCAGGTGATGACCACAAACCACTTCTCAGTTCCTGTGGTTTCTAGCTGATGTTTTGGTCACTTTAGAATGCTGATGGTGCTTTCACGCTAATGCTGGAATGAGACAGAGTCTACAACCATCAATGCGAGCTAAAGTAAGAAGGTTTGCTATGTCTGTTAGCATACTGTCCAGAGCAATTTAGGCTCTACCAGGGGACAGTTGAGGACATCAGAAGACGCGAAGGAGGCTGTAAGAGGGCAACAACCTAGCAGTAGGACTACTACCTCCAGCTGTGTGCAAGGAAAAGCAGGAGGAGCACTGCCAGAGCCCTGCAAAATCACCTCCAGCAGGCTACAAATGTAAATGTGTCTGCTCATACAGTCCATGGGAGGGATATGAGGGCCCGACATCCACAGGTGGGGTTTGTGCTTAAAGCCCAACACCATGCAGGATGTTTGGCATTTGCTAGAGAACACCAAGTCTGACAAATTCAAAACTGACAGACGTGACAGAGTCTGGAGACACCATGGAGAACATTCTGCTGCCTGTAACACCCTACATGACCAGTTGGCAGTGAGTCAGTAATGGTGTGGGGTGGCACAGGTCATCATGAAGAAGTAGCTTCATTAGGTATTGAGATAAGATCCTCAGACCCCTTGTGAGACCATATGCTGGTGTGGTTGGCCCTTGGTTCCTCCTACACTGCAAAACAATGTGTCAGCAGTTCTTGCAAGACAAAGATGTTAATGCTGTGGACAGGCCCGCCCATTTCCCAGACCTGTATCCAATTGAGCACATCTGGGACATCCTGTCTCACTCTATCCTCCAGCACCATGTTGACCAGGAGTTGGTGGGTACTTTCATACAGGTGTGGGAGGAGATCCATCAGGAGACCACCCGCCACCTCATCAGGAGCATGCCCGGCATTGTAGGGTGTTCAAACAGGCATGTGGAGGCCACACACACATTACTAAGCCTAAGTTTTACTTGTTTTCAGGACATCTCATTCTTGCATCTTGCTTTAAGAACATTGCATCTCATGTTGATGCAGTGTGTTTTTCCATTTCAATTTTGAATGTGACTCCAATTTTATTAACCCGTGGAGGACTGGATTTGATTTCTATTGATAATTTTTGTGTGATTTTTTTTTGTAAGCTTATTCAACTATATAGAACAAAGTAGTCAGTAAGAATATGTTATTCATTCAGATCTAGGATGTGCTATTTTAGTGTTTCCTCTATTTGTTTATGCATTTGCTTAGTAAAAACCAGGTGGTGATTTTTATTTTTATATTTTTTGAAGGGCAGTGTATTTTATTTTTATTTTTATATTGTCACTTAGACATAAAAAAGACAATTAAAGGGCACATAGTTTACCCCTTTTTTATGATTTAATATTAATATTATGGTTGTTTTCAGTTTAGGTTCAGTTCAACACACAGTTCAGATGTTTTTATTATCATGTGTTAAGGAGTGTCATGTTGGGGGCGTTTAAACAGTTTGCTGTTTTAGGGGTGTGTTGCTTCTCATGAAAATTTGTTTCGGCTTCCCGCCCAACGTAACAAGAGGGCGGAGCCAAGAGCTCCCACGCTCTGTGTTTGCAACAGACAGGCTGACAGACAGAGAGAGAGAAGCTAAACTAAGTTAGGATGAGCATTCAGCCGTACATGTACGACTCAAGCACAGACCAAGCAGAGAATACACAATGATTTGTGTCTTTGTATAGTCTGTAGCGCGGCACTTGTACACCGAGACTAATAACCACACACACTGAATTAACTGACTGAGGCACCGAATGCGCTGCGACACGGCACACCAGACACTCTCAGTGGCGCGGCAGAAACATAAAGTGTCCCGAATCGTCGCGCCACGCATTCCAGAACTCCAAACACAGGGCTCCACCAGGGCAAACACAATGGTGGCACGGCCGCCGAGCCGAAGCTCCGCCACGTGCACCCCAACAGAAACCCACGCCCAGAACTCCAAAATGCATGCCGCCGCACCATGCAGAGCGCAGAGCGGCGCTTCTGCTGTGCGACCTGCAGGCAAGTTTGTGATTTTATTTCCAATGGAGAGACACGCACATGAGGCAACATGCTTGCACTTTTGCAGCTGCGCCTAAGATCAATGGGAGCTTCTGTGACTGCAAGAAATGCAAACAGCTGAAGTTCAAGGTAGATGTAATAAAAAGTACACGTTTGCAAACCTATCAAAAGGTACAAACAATAATTCCAATTAGAGCTATAATGTGGAGAATATTGATCTTGTGTTGAGCCCAATGAGCCTTACATCTAAAATCAGAGCAAGGGTGTTCCTTTAGTGACATCGCTTTGACTAACACGCTGAAAATAGCGGACGTGAGAAAACAAACTGAGGATATGATCGTGATGCAAGGCTGTCAATTAATATTGGTGGGCGGGGGACCGCACTCCTACATCAAGTTGTTGTCAATCTGAAAACCGCTCCAAATGGTCAATCGTTTTTATGTTGTTAAGTTGAAAAAACGGACTGGGTGTGTTTATATCACCCCAATTAGTAGTTATCAACAACACTTTCACTATCATTTAAATCTTGATACAGTATCTGTTGTAATAAAAAAACAACTCCTAATTGTTTTCAGACACAGTGCCATAAGCAATAAAGTTGTTTAAAGGGTTTGAGACAGTGCCACAAGTAATAAAGATGTTAGCCAGTTATATGGGGCAATCATGGCCTTGATTTGGACTTGTGATCCAAAGGTCGTGGGTTTGAGTTTCAGCAGTGGCAAGAATTGAAGTTGTAGTAAGTGAATGACCAGCACTCTCTCTTCCAGCCTCAATACAATGCCTGAGGTGACTTTTTGAGCAAGGCACCAAACCCCCACTGCTCCCCAGAGAGCCCACTGCTCCAAGTTGTGTTAACGGCATGTTTGGATAAACATCTTGTAAATGTAAATGTCACAACTGTCTGAAGCATAGACTGTGTTTAAATCAAAGGGCAGAGTAGAAATTTTTGTCACATTTTATTTTAAGGCACATTTATCGCTATTAATAAATAATTAACTATGACTTTCACCTCAATAAACTGCTAATTTGCTGCTTATTAATAGTTATTAAGGTATTAGTTGGGTTTAGAGATGTAGAAAATGATCATGCAAAATATGTGCTTAATACTGTAGGAACTAATGCTCGTTAGCTCAGGAAACACAGACAGACATGTGTGTGTGTGTGTGTGTGTGTGTGTGTGTGTGTGTGTGTGTGTCTGAAAAAATGCATTTTATGACCCATTTAACGAAAGTGTTTGTATTACAAATTGTAGTGTCTTTGTTTTTTCTTTAGGCCTTTTTTTTCTTTAAGTCTGCATGACTTTGTAATTGAAATTGTTTCCGCTCTTAAAATATCTACAGTACCTATAAAGACTCTTTATTGATAAAGCATATTTCCAGTACAATAAAATAAATAATATAACACCTTTATGTTTCTCTAGAGAAGCATCAATAACCAAACACTATTTTAATGATAATTAAAATCTTAAATTTTTTATCTGTGGTCTAATCTGTGATTTAACAAAACCATTAATCATTCAATTTCCAATCCCCATATGAACAATAGACAAGACTCAGGTTGTTGATATCAAACAGACGGGTTTATTGCAGATGTTGTATAAATTGATTGGGCAGTAGAAGTCAATGATAGTCTTTGAATTACCGGAATGATGGAGCACGGCAATAATGATAGTGGATTTCCAGGAGCTGGTATAATCCGGAAATCCGGGCACACGACACATAAAGGAATACAAGGAGGAGACGAAGGAGATCGAGATCACTGGAGCATAAGACAAGCAACTACTGGAGCACGAGATGAGTAATCGATGGAGCATTAGATCCGTGTTTGTTGAAGTATAGGACAAGTACACGCTGGAGCAAAAGAGGAGTAATCGCTGGAGCATAGGAGAGAGTCTGGGAGAAAGAGTCCTTTCTGCATTCGAGACCAGACAATGTGTGAGTGAAAACGGCGTGCTTTTATACAGGGTGGTCCTGATTGGGGAAAGTAAATCCTTCTCTGCTGAGATCTTTAATCAGATCTTGAGATCTACTAGTTTATAGTTTAATCAGGTTTAATCATCTCATTAACTTAACTGTATTAAAGTCTCTTTAATAAACTTTAATAAACTCTTTAATAAACTTCTACAGACAAATATTACATTTTAAAAGATCATTGAAAATGTTGGCAAATAACTTCAGCACAAATAGATACCTGGACAATTTTCAATCTCACCTCATCACAGCACAGAAAATTGCACATAGAGATAATACATAATATTCAGGGAAACACAGATTATTTGGGAACTGATTTTTTCATTGGAAGATGGGTGTTGCTAACAAAAAGGAGTAAAAAATTAACAAATAGATGAACGCAGGGCAGTAACGAGATGCCCACTTATAGTTAAATATTATTCAACAAAAAGTTAATGCCTAAATCTAACTTATAAGACGTGGTGCAAGTGGCTAAATTGTATGTATTAGGTTGGGTTAACTTCCATCCTATAAATATAAGAAATACTGTGACATTGCTTAAAACAAATGCAACAAAATCAAGTTGAGCTAACTAATATTTCTAAAATTACAGCTAAATTAGTCAGATAAGCATACTTTTCTTGTTACAGGTAACTTATTTACATGTTGCTATATGTTATCTGTACTCTAGTGGAGTTAACAAGCATAATTTCTGAAGCGTCATGCGCCTCGTCATGTTCTTAATTAATTATCGTTCAGAGCGAAATTCAAATACACATTCTTCTCACCCTAATAAAACAAAGAACGTGCTGTCACACCAGTTAATAGCAAACAGTAACCACACAAGATCTGGGCCTCTGCCGATCACAAGATCATGGCAACAACATTTAACAACCATAAAAGAGAGAAACATTTATGTTCTCACCAGGGGCCTTGCAAATTTAGACATTAAGTTTAAAATGGTTTTTAGTATTTAGTGTATTTTTGCTAATATTTCTGCATGCTTTGCTATGTATGCAAGCAAATGTATTTGTTGTAGTTTTGCAGATAATTTGAAATAGTGTGGTGTGTGTAACATGTGAAACTAACTGTATTTGATAAAGTCTGCAATGTTTGGTGTCAGACTAGACCTGAAATACTTCAGAGGGCGCTGGTTTGAATGGAAATACTGTACCTACAAATAATAGTTAGTTATAAGGTTAATGTCAACTTTAATGAAAAAAAAATGATCATGATCACGAATCACTCTAATCGTGGGTGTAGCTACCCAGGGAAAAGAGAGGTGTGGCGTCGCTCAGCAGCTATGGCCATTGGACATTTACAGTTTGGGCCAGATCAAGTTCCGCTCCCGATAAAACTCTGGAAATGTCAAGTTTTGTGGCTTTGGCTTTACAAAGGGTGTCTACGCACTAACTTTGCTTTACTTGCTTCCCGTTTTTACAACCTGCCTGACATCGCTTTCTGGAAAAATCACCCTCTGCCTGCATCTGTCCACCATAACATCACTACAGTTGCAAAGCAACATGACCAGGTTCACAGGAGCTCAAGCTGCAACTCACAAAAACTCAGTCTGATCCTGTTTTGCTCAGATAACTGCTTTCCGTGAACTTTGACTTCCTAAGTTTTATAGATCTGCACAGGAGTGAGTATCAAGAGGATCCCTAGAACATCTCGCGTTGCTGACCCCAAATTCTCCTTGACCAGGGCAATGAGCTCCACGCATCACAAGACAAAGGAAATCCCCTCTCTGCAATAAAGGCTTCCTAACCACGTCAACGCGCCACAACTACATCATCGGCTTTACCAAAGGTTCCTTCAACCAGGGGATGAGTGAGACTGCTCATCAAAACCAAGTAAACTC